TTAGTACCTGATCATAAAATGCCATTGAATACAAGAATGAAATATTAGAGTTGTGGAGATATGGGGGGATACTTGAAATAACATAGAACAAAGTAAGTGTTAGTATGAGAATGAAAATAGAAAGGACCCCCCACTTCCATTTTCTTATATTTGTTTACGGGGCATGAACATATACTAGTGGCAACCTCAAAGGAAAACCAACTAGCTTGGCTTATAGCGTTCAGAGATGGGAAATCTTTATTTAGCTAAGAATCCAGGAGCAAAAGAGTCTGTGATATTAATTCACAGCAAGACCAGGCTTTGCAGAGAAAGGTAACCTCAGCAAGCTAAGAAGAGATGAATAAAGTAGAAGGAGCTCTGGGATTAAGCTCTGTTCAGAATTGTGACACTGTGGCCCCCTCAAAGCACAGATAATCTGGACTCATTGACTATAAAGAAGCAATGAAGAACTAAGAGCACTGCCCAACAGTCAAGGTGCCTGGGTTTGAATTCTGGCTTCACCTCTTAACTCGTTGCGTGATCTGGGATAAGTTACTTTTCCTCTCTTGGCCTCCATCTCCTCATCTGTATAAGTAGGGATAATCGTAGGATTGCTATGAGATAAAGTACTCAGTCCAGTATCTGGAACGTAGTATATGTTTATTAAATGTTAGAAATTATTAAACAAGATGTGATTGAGAAAGTGCCACTGAAATGAGATATGTAGATCAGTAGTGAATGCCTAACTTAGAGTAGGTGTTATGAAAAGAGCACTTTATCTCAAAGAATTCGAAGTTAATTGGGATTCCACAATGTATGAGGTAATGTGACTGATATTAAAAAAAATTATACAGTTAAATGAATGTTACGCAATGCCCTTAAAACAGTGAGAAGACTATTTTTCTCTGCCCTTCCCATGCCACTTTCAAAATAATATTAGATATGAACAATTGATATTTTCTAAACTTTATGTAAGATGTCAAAAAATACTTAGAAGAACACTGCTGTTTTTATTGATCTATAACATACACTTTCATGTTTACTATACAAACACAGCCTCTAGCCACCATCTCAAACCAGACTGAGATCCCCTAAACATCTTCTATACAGAAATTTTCATATACATAACTTCAGAAATCATGCTTGGCATAAAGCAAGATACATATAATGTGAATAAATGCGGAATTGTGAAGTTGGACAAGGTTGGTCAAGAAACCTTTCTTAGAAGAAATTAACTTGAATGAGATTTTGGAGAAAAATCTTGGTATAAATTGGTGGAGAAAAGAGAAGTGGATACTTTAGATTTAACTCAGGCAAAGTAATAATCTAGAAGTTGCTTGGTGAACATGGAGGCAGATCAGAAACAGATGGATTATCTTTGGGATATTTCACAGAGATCATGAAGAGTCCTGTGTCCTTTTGCTGTGTGCATAATTCAAAATAAACAGAATCTAGAAGTTCTAGTACCACCGGTAACTCTTACTGAAATTTCTAGACTGTGTGGGTTTTCAGGAAAGGGGCTGACTTTTAACAATACCAAAGAAAATTTTCTATATTTTTTGTCACTTTCTCCAGTATTGCTGTTTCCCCTTTTTCTCTCTAGCCTTTGGCCCTTCTCATAAGGATGGAAACACTACTGTTTGGTGTCTGGGCCCTGCTGGCTTTCATCCCTTGCCCAGGTGAGGCTATTTGGGAAAGTTTCTTTAGCCAGTATCTGCCTTGGTACCAGTGGCTGGGCAATGAGAAAGAGGATAGGAAGTCCTGAGTGGGGTGACACTTTAGTATTCACACATCTGGACCCTTGGGAGAGATTCCTATTTCTTGGATCACTAGGACACAGAATCTATGTGTGTCTGGCTGTATTGGGATAACCCAAATTAAGGGACAGGATAATAGACCATCAGGGAGAACTCTCCTTAAGAAATATGCCTTCTCTGCTTGGCTCCCTGCTGCACAGGACTGCCCTATTTTTCTGATTTTGATAATATTTTAACTTCTTTGTTGCCACCCTCTGTCATGAATAAGATTTTGATAGTACAGGGCCCATAGCTCAGTTGTGAGGAGTTCTCCGAATGACGAGAAAGGAACTGGACTCTTAGTGGGTAACATTGCTGCAAGAGTATGTATTCGCAGAGGGGACTGGTATTTGGGAGATGAAGTAGATGGTAGACTTCGAGTAGCTAAAGGGGACTTATAGGGAAGCTTTCATGAGACTTTGCCTCTCACCTACATCACACATCTAAAATTTACCTGAGAGATATGTCTCTCTCACTGCACCTGAGAAGGTTTCTCTAATGGACTAAACTCTTAAGCATCCCCAAACATCTGCACCAAAGCAAAATGGAACAGTCTCACTTTGAGGAGGGTGAAAAGTTCCATGGGAAATGAGTGACCTTGAGAGTCACCTTTAGATTAGAGGTTCTCATAATTTAGTGTGCATAAGGGTCACCAGGAGTGCTTGTTTTGTTCGTTAGCGTATTTCCAGGTCCCACCTTCACAAGTTCTTAATCATTCAGTTTGAGGTGGAGCTAGAATTTGCAGTTTTACAAGCATTCCGGGTGACTCTGGGGAAGGTAATCCTTAGGCCATAATTTGAGAGAAACACTGCTTTGAGGTATAAGTAAGTAACAAAGCTCTTTATCTTAGGGGTCGATGAACACCATGAGGGCCCTCAGCAGCCAATCCTGGGAGCTTCCAAGATTTCTGGAAGTTTAGGAAGAGAATGATTTCCTGGGCATAATTTTTAGCAACTCCGTAGTTTCCATGGTGACACTAAAGGAGAAATCAGACCCCAGGAAAGATGATGAGTAGAGAGAATGGTGGTGGAATCAGGGTTTTAACTTGTTCATGAAGGGTCTTTTTCTCGCCTAGTCCCCTGTTCATTCAGGGTAGGTTTCCTATTCTCTAACTTGGAACTAGATAAGCAGGCTCTGTGTTTTGTTTGGGTCTTGTGGTTCTTACCAGAGTTTGGCATATGTGGTTGATCATTTCAGGAGCCACAGAAGAGCTATTTGAGGTTTCTGTTTGGCCAGATCAGGCCCTGGTAAAGTTTGGAGAGTCCTTAATGGTCAACTGTAGTACTACCTGTCCAGACCCAGGACCCAGTGGAATTGAGACTTTCTTAAAGAAAACCCAGGTGGGCAAAGGGCCTCAGTGGAAGGAGTTTCTCCTGGAGGATGTCACAGAGGATTCTATTCTGCAGTGTTTCTTCTCCTGCGCAGGGATCCAGAAGGACACAAGCCTTGACATCACCATGTATCGTGAGTGGGGCTGAGGGCTGGCGGGGAGGAGAAGAATGCGGGAACGTGACTATCTCTTATTGAGGGAAAAATTAGAGATTTCTTCTAGGGGAGAGAATTAGGGCCCTTAATAAAGATTTCTGTCCTACTGTAGGAATTCAAGAGCCAATTACTTCCATTTCCCTTTGGTGTAGGCTTTTAAATTAGGAACATACCATAGAGAAAATCCAGACATCTGTGCTTGAGTATGTTCACACACAGGTGGCATATGCTAATAACACTAACTTATAAATGATTAAAAAATGTGTACAATTAATGCTGAATTATTTGCCACAAATTCTTAGAATAAATAGCAACCGGAAAAAGGAGGGTCTTTGTGGGCTGGGGCAGCTGGCGAAGTCTTCGTGGAAGAGGAGGTGCCTGGGCTTCACTCCTGCAGAATGGTTAGGATTTGAAGTGATGGGGATAGGCGGGGAGGGTCTTTTGGGTGGGCACATGGCATCGGCAGGGATATGGCTTTAAGAATAAGTGTGATCCCTGTGAGGCAAGAGTGTGGTTAACTAGGACGTAGTTTTGTGTGATGCTGAGGTGCTCCTCAGAAGCTGCTCATGCCTCTGAAGCACCTCAGGTAAGAGAAAATCTCTCTAGAGCACAGACCTCCCTCAGCAGTCTCATTTCTTGGCTATGGATTTCGCCACCTTCGATGGGCAGAAGAGTCAGAAGACTAACTCGTCCCATCTAGGGCAGGGGTGGCAGAATGCTGACACTGTTGATCAGATGGTTTAAGGGTAGCAGTCAGTCACCTCCTAACACAGGCTTCCTGTCCTATACCATTTCTTTTGGAAGGGGTGAGTAACCTTCTCTCATCAAACCTACTTTTTGTCTTAAAGAGCCACCAGAGCAGGTGATCCTGGAGCTGCAGCCTGCATGGGTGGCCGTGGATGAAGTCTTTACAGTGAAGTGCCATGTGCCTAGTGTAGCACCACTGGAGAACCTCGCCCTCACCCTTCTCCAGGGTAACCAAGAACTACATAGAAAGAACTTTACGAACTTGGCTATCGCCTCCCAAAGAGCTGAGGTCACCGTCAGTGTCAAAGCTCAAAGGGAGAATGACAGGTGCAATTTCTCCTGCCGTGCAGAACTGGACTTGAGTTCGCATGGTGGCGAGCTCTTTCACTCTAGCTCAGCCATCAGGGTACTCCGGAGTTTTGGTGAGTCAGAGCTCGGGTGTGGGAGGAACCCTAAGGCTCATTCTCCCCATCATACCTTTGGGACTAAGTCCCCACAGGGTTCAGGTGTGAGCGTAATTGAGCTCTACCTCTTCTTGGGCTTTAAACACCCTGGAGGACAGAGAGCCTTTTTGCCCCATTCCCTTCCTACGTTGTCAGGTACTACATGACAAGATTTATCATGGCTTTTCTCCTTTCCTTTTTCTCATTTCTTGACAGAATTCTCTGAGCACCCCCAAGTCTGGGTCTCCCCACTTCTGGAGGTTGGGATGGCAGAGACTGTGAGCTGTGAGGTGGCTAGAGTGTTCCCAGCCAAAGAGGTCACATTCCGCCTGTTCCTGGGAGACCAGGAGCTGAGCCCCTTCTTCTCCTGGGAAGAAGACACAGCATGGGCCAATGCCACTGTTCGGGCCATGGAAGCCGGTGATCAGGAGCTGTCCTGCCTTATATCTCTGGGTCCAATGGAACAGAAAACAAGAGAGCCGGTACATGTGTATAGTAAGTTACCGGCCCCTTCCCTTCCCCATGAGGGTTCTCTGCCATTGAAAACTTCCTCGGTAAAGCCTTCGTGATTTGACTGCAAATACCCCTGCTAACTTTTGTGGGGTTTGCTCTCCAGTGAACATCAGTCTTCATCTTCCTCTGATGAGTTCAGGCAGGTTGGAGACACACATTGAGACAGTAGTTCTCCCCAGCCTTCGCCTCATTTCCTTAGGCCATCCTACTTGGATCCTTGAACTTGTTTCTGGGAACAGTTACTTGAGGCTAGGAGGAAATCTGCAAGATGAAAAAGACATCTTGCTATTCTTGCTGCAGGGACCTAGCCAAATGTGGGCACACTGCGTTTGTTGTAGAAGTTCTCAAATTCCCAGAATGCCTCGTTGCTCCTGCCATTCAGCACAGAAGCAGTTGTGGTAGCCACAGTCTTTCCTCTGTTGTCTGCCCACCCAAGGGATACCACCAGCAGCAAGAGGACAGAATGGCTGCCAGTTTTGAGATACACGTTTGGTTCTCTTTTTCCTTTTCTTATAGGCTTCCCTCCACCAATCCTGGAGATAGAAGAATTATACCCATTGGCAGGGACAGACGTTAATGTGACCTGCACAGGGCATGTGTTAACATCACCCAGTCCTACTCTTCGGCTTCAGGGAGCCCCAGACCTCCCTGCCCCTGGGGAGCCTGCCTGGCTTTTACTTACCACCAGGGAGGAAGATGATGGCCGAAATTTCTCCTGTGAGGCCTCTTTGGAGGTTCAGGGTCAGCGGTTGATTAAAACCACTACGATCCAGCTCCATGTCTTATGTGAGTATAGGTCTGATCCTTCTGGTCAAAAATAGGAGTGTTAGTCTCCCTTTCCTGCAGCTTCATTGTTAGAGTTGCCATATTTTTCTCATTAAAATAAAATCAAAGGAAAAAAATAAAACTAAAGCACTCCAAGCTTACTTTACCCCCAACAAAGTGAGTGGGGAGAAACTTGAGGGGAAACGGGCACAGAGAAGAGAAAGTGGTTAAAGTGATCGGGCATTAGTCGAGGGCCCATGGCTGAGAACGTGGGAAGTGACAGTTGGAGTTTATGCTGAGGAAATAAATTTCCACATACAAATTTGTATTTTGAAAAGTAGAAAAGTCCTCATCTCTGGGTTCGCTACTACCCATGGTCTCACTCACTGAGAAACAAAGGTGGAAAGCAGCGGCCCCGAGGCCACCATTGGCAGAGCAGTCTTGTTCATTTAGTCAAAATCTGTTAAATGCCCTATGCTGCACCTCAGACCCTTGTCCCTAGGAAATGGAGGAAACGAGTGGACCAAAGCAGGGCACTGATGGGCCTCTTCTTGGGATAGAAAGTTGTGACAGCATTTGGGTTAGAGGAGGGAGAGGCGAACATGCCTGTGAGGAGGGAATGTGCACACTGAGCTCTGTTCCTTCAGGTACTCTTTTTTTTTTTCCAGATAAGCCACGGTTGGAGGAATCTGGTTGCCCTGGCAACCAGAAATGGGTGGAAGGGATGGAACAGATGCTTGCCTGCGTCCCAAAGGGAAACCCAACTCCTTCGTTGGTGTGTACCTGGAATGGAATGATCTTTGACCTTGAAGTGCCACAGAAGGCAACCCAGAACCACACTGGAACCTACTGCTGCATGGCCACTAACCGGCTGGGCTCTGTCAGCAAAGACATTGCTGTCGTTGTTCAAGGTGACAGTAACTCCCCTGCCGCCAGGCCCAAAATGGGGTTCGGGATTCTTATCCAGACATGGAAAGAAGAAAGATTTCAGTGGGCTGGGGGTGGTGAGATGAGAAATGGGCTTGGTGGGCTGGGGTGTGATTCTCTTGCTCTGGAACCCTCCCAATTCTATCTTCTGTGCTTGGGCAGGACTGGATGAAGGAAACAGCTCCACCATCTTCATCATCATTACTGTTGCCCTTGGTGTGGGTGTAATCATCATAGCGCTGTATTTGAACTATCGGCCCTGCAAGATAGAGAGGAGGAAATTCTCCTATAGGCAGAAAGAGAAGAACAAAGAGGAAGAAAGCCAGTTTGCTGTTCAACAAGCAGAAAAATGTAATGCACATAATTGTTAAGTAGAAACAGCTATTTGGTTGAAGCGACCTCTGCTACTGTAATTTCCTAAGGGAGGGAATGGGGTAGAGGAGAAAAGAAGAGACATTATCCTTTGCCCTGTGCAGTCGCATAAAACAAGTGTTTCAGGCCCCCATGTCCCTTCATGTCCCTTGCATCCAGTCCATCCACAAGTTGTACTCCCCCAAGTTCACTCTAGTCACTAGGAATTTCAGAACTAGTGAGAAGGCCTCTTGCTCCTTGCTGTAGGCTTAATCAGTCCACTCTTAGATTCGCAAAAGAAAATCCCACCCTTGCCTCATCATCCCTGTTACCACTGCCCTTTGCTCCCAAACATCAGACCGAAGCAATAGAAATATCTCAGAAATGCAACTCATTTCTCATGGTTTCCACATGACTAAGTGGGAACCAGTTTCTTTGTCCAGAGACAGGACTTTGAAGGGAGTGAGTATCAAACAAAGGGATAGGAATAGGAACCCTATTCCTGTCTACATGTTCCCCTGCTCCCCTAACCCGGGAGTCTGGAATACAGGCTCCCAGACCCAGCATGACGACAATGTTAAGAGTCAGTGGCTGGCCATACTTCACCTCACTAACCATCAGTTGTGTGCCTTGGAGGAGGATAATAAGAAATTCCACACTGAGTTAGAAAAGCAGCTTACCTAGCCCAGTGTTCTGCCTCTGGCGTGGAAGTTCGTGTTCTTCCGTGAAATTGGCTTTGTAGGTTAAGGGATCCAAACATCTCTGAACTCTTTTTCATAATCCATTATAGAGTAATCATCTGTGAGTTCACATTTGACATATTAATTTTTTTTTTTTTACCTGTGCAGGTCTTAGGGTAGAGTTCCAATGTTCATTCTCCCATTTCATAAAGAAATATGTATTCTCATATGTCTGCAAACTATTTTTTTTAAGCTTCGGGAGGATCCCTCCTGTGACAATATTTCCCACATCGTATGATTGAGCTTCCTTCTCTGTTCTTTGGAAAGAGAAGACATAAGGAGTCATAAAACCAGAACTTTTCTCCCAAATTGGACACATATGGGTCACTAAAATGTTGGATATGGTGAAAATAAAAGCGATTTTACAATTTCTCAAAGTATTTCTCTTTGTCATTGTTGAAAGCTTCGATTAAACCACGTGGTTGCACTTTGAGTATAATTTCTAAGAAAAGAATGTCAAGTTGGTAGCATCAACAACCAGCCTAGGTGGTGCATTAGTTCATGGCAGCAGCCTGTTTGACCAGCCCTCAAAACTAAAGTCTAGACTTCCAGATAGAGGTCCACAGCCTTCCAAACTGTAGACACTAGCTAGAAAGAACATGGCATCAAGCACTGAAGTGAAAAAAATTCTCTCATTTCTCCTTGAGTCTGGGTTATGGATTAGGTATAAAAATAACCCTTTGGTTTCAACACACGCAAGACAGGGCATACGGTGGTGAACAGAACGCTGCCCCTGCTTTCTGCAAGCTTACAGTCTATGAGAGAAGTCAACAGGAAATTACAATTGTGCTTTAACCCCTCTGACTGACTGGGAAAGCACAGATCCGTAGAAAATCACCTAACTCAGGATCAAGGAAGGCTCCCTGGTTGGAGATTGGAAATATTGGAAATATTTTGTTTGATTCTGCAAAACAATATCTTCCAAAATGACCTTTTCTGCCTCAATTTTTTCAATAAATATAGTAGCCACTGCTCTTATCATGTAATATAAATTACTCACTTTTCTGATTTAAACACTTGGGGAAATAAGTTAGGAAGCAGGTTTAGGAGCATATACAGCCGTCGAATCCAGGAATCTCTAGCCATTTCAGTTTCTTGGGATCAGCTGCCTCAGGTCTGGAGTTATTTCAGTCTGCAAACCCCACTTCAGGGTCCCAGTGTCCTAAAGCACAGAGAATCCTAAACCGAAGGGAGGAGGGGGCTCATTCGTACTTCCTGGATCCACCAGGGAGAGCCTGAAGGCTTAGCCAGATCTTGCCTTTGCTTCTCACTGCCACATGGTGTCACTGTTGACAGACTGTCCCACACAGTCCGTTAAACCTTGCGGTTCTGCAGATCCAGGTTCTGAGTTGGCTGCCTTGGATTTTTCAGGAGCTTGGTCCAATTCCTCTGGGCTTTGGTCCAGCTGGGGGTGACGCCTTGCATGGATTTCCAGGGTCACACTTCTTAGAGCTCAGTACCTTGGATTAGCCATCCTGCAAAGCTGTTCAGATTTGGGTAGGCTCCACCCTGTGTAGACTTGAAAACTTTTCCCTTTCCCTCGCCAAGGATCCACACAACCAGGAGTCTGGCGGCCCCTCCTACTCAATTCTTAAATCACGAAGGATTTCATTACATCTCTTTTCCAGAATAACAGCTGGTCTCTGCCCACTCTTCTAAGGGGAGCTGCCTGGTCTCCAGGGAGGAGCCCTGCCCCCTAAAAGGTTTGGATTATACTCTTTTTCTGAATATTAAGCAAACAGCTCACACTTACCTGCAGCTACCCTGATTATCTTTAGGGGAAGAGAGTGACCTTTAATACTCCAAAAGTTTACTTTCTTAAGAAAGTCAAAGTGACTTTCTGGTGTCTTTCTTTTTAGATCTGAGAAAAAACAAGTTAAATCTTCAGTGAGTCTTCTTACAATAGGGAGAATAATAATATTTACTTATTATAATTGGAAAGAAATGACATAGTATTTGTAAAAATACTAGCATGGTTTTGTATGTATGTGTTCACAAGTTTTAGTTTTCATTATTACACTAATAATAATACTGGTGGTTATTCATAATTATAATAAACTCAAAGCAACAGTCAGAAAACCGTGACAACTATTGAGGGCCATCAAAAGTCACATATACCATGGACACTTTTCTCTTTTCCATTGTGCTCTTTCTCCTTTTCTATTCCTTTCCTTCATCTACTTTTACCCCTTTTTTGTTCTACTTACAGGATGACCGATTGTTCCAGTTCGCATTGTGCTGAGGTGTTCTGGGACATGGGACATTCAGCACTAAAATTGAGAAAGTCTTATGCAAACCGGGACGAGTTGGTGACTAATACTAGTATCACTCAAAGTATTTCTCAGCTGTGCGTGTAGGGGGAGGAGAAGTTTGAATTTAAAAAGCTGCAAGACAGTGTCATGTTTGCTTGACCCAGAAGCCCAGGTCTTATGATTCTGAGGAGGACTTCTGAAGCAAGGACAAAGGGCCAGTTCTGCCTTCAAATGTGTATGATAAAGATGTGCCCGGAGAGTAGGATCCTCACCAGGTGCATTGTCCAGATTCTTGACGTCTCAAACAAAGAATTGAGCAAGACACCGAAATAGAGCAGGAAAAAAAGCTTTATTAGAAGGGAAAGTACACTTCCAGACGTGGAAGCAGGTCTGAGCAAGAGAAGTGTGGCTCAAAAGGCCTGGTAAGAAGGCCTTTGGGGTTTTTATCCCTATGTGCTGTGAGTGGTTACTTTTCTTAGAGGGGTGGGCTTCCTTGATTGACAGTTAAGATTGACAGGACTCAATGATTCATTATTTTGCTTTCTGCGCATGTTTGTTCCCAGAATTCAGTCTGTTATGATGATATTAATGAACTTCTGGGCATATGCATCATATTATGGTATAATGAAACTCAGGTGAGTTGAAGGTCGTTGGGTCTTCATTGTGCAGGTGTGAGCAACTGGCTTAAACTGATACCTAATTCTCTGCTTGTTTCTTTGTGGAAGTTACTTTTAGACTAAAAATGTCTTCTGGCTTGCTTAATTGTGGGCGGATTAGGGTGGACTTCAGTACCCCTCAGTCCCTAGACAAGGAAAAGAAGATACAAACTTGTTATTTAAATCATATATCTATATTTTTCTATTATTGATTTGCCTATTAAACAAGTAAAGGGAAATAGGCTTGGTTAATATATTTCTCAAAGAGTATAAAAGGACCTTTGGCCTAAAGTCCCCTCCCCTCTCAGACTCCAAGGGCCCTGTCTGGCCTAACACCATTTCTGCTAACAATAGGCCGATGACCCTATCAATGGCCAGAGGATCTTAGGAGTCACCAAATTTGAATTATTGATTTGCCTATTAAACAAGTAAAGGGAAATAGGCTTGGTTAATATATTTCTCAAAGAGTATAAAAGGACCTTTGGCCTAAAGTCCCCTCCCCTCTCAGACTCCAAGGGCCCTGTCTGGCCTAACACCATTTCTGCTAACAATAGGCCGATGACCCTATCAATGGCCAGAGGATCTTAGGAGTCACCAAATTTGAGGCAATTATCTGGATTTGAGGGGGAGGGCCTTTTTCCCAAGCAAAAGAGGGAAGAAAACTAAGTTTACTAAAAAGATTAGGAACTCTGCAAGAGATGTCCCATTTCATTTCCTGCTAAAAGATTAAGAATTTCACAAGTGATATCCCGTATCAAAGGGACAAAACTGACTATATGTGTTTCAGCAATGCTGATGGAGGAAATTCGGACATGATCATTTTAGGATAGAGTAAATTTAAAAGATTGTATGGAATCAGAAAAACATGATTCCAGGGGTCTAGAGTTACTTGAGCTTTGCCTTTTGAATTCTTCCTCATGCAAATCTCACTGATCTTACTCCTAGGAAGATTTTTCATTAGAAAATACTTTAAATTTTTAAAAAATTGTGGTAAAATAGACATAAAATTTACTGTCTTAAATGTTTTGAGTGTATAGTTCAATAATGTCAAGTACATTCACATTATTGTGCAACCAATCTCCAGAACTCTTTTCATCTTGCAAAACTGAAACTCTGAACCCACTAAACAACTCCCCCTTCCCCCTGTCCCTCACCCTTGGTAACCACGATTCTACTTTCTGTCTCTAAATTTGACTGCTCTAAGTACCTCCTATGAAGGACATCACACAGTCCTTGTGTTTTTATTACCGGCTTATTAGAAAAAAATTTTAATGACTGATTAGAAATAGGGAGAGCCAGAGCTGGCCCAGATCTTGCATCTCCTTTTGCCCCTTTTATCCAGACAGTAGCTGTGACACGTGTTTCTCATCTTTGTGGTCCCTAACTCAGTGGCTCTCAATCTAGTTTGCTCTTTAGACTCACCTGGGGAGCTTTTAAAAGTACTCTTGCCTGGTTCCCTTCTCAGACCAATTAAATCAGAATCGCTGGGAGAGAAGGCTACTGCAAGAGTTGTTAAGAAAGCATCTCAGGCATTTCTAATTTGCAGGGGAGGATGCCATCCACTCCCTAATTGAAGAACTGAAAGACAGAATAACATTTGTCAAATCAAAGAGTTTCGGGTAGATGGTCTTTAAGGTCTTTTTAAATTCTAAAATTTTGCAAAATCAGCTAGCCGCTTTGGAATTCTCAACCAGTAGGAATCGACTTGATTCAGCTCCGCCCAGTAGGAGCTGAGCAGATGCTCTCTGGAGTGTGGCTCCCCCTGCTGCCCACTGCTGTCATGACAACCCCCCTTCAGAATCCTCAGAGTAGCTATAACACCCCTCCAGGCACCCTTCTCCTGCCACATTCATTGAACAAATACGTCTTAAGATGGCTCACATTTCCTTTTAAAATACGTATTCAAGCCAAGAGATAACTATATTTATAATAATTACTCCAGTTTCTTAAGACCACGAGATTTCCAAATAATTCTAAGACCAGATGAAGAATTTTACGGGGATACTGGTTTCAGCTCAATGTAAGAGATACTTCTCTGAAACCAGAGCGGTTTAGTAGAGTGAGTTGCCTTGTGGAGTAGTAGTTCCCTTGATGCTAGTGCCACACAAGCGAATGCCGTCTGTAAGGGGTGCTGTAGGGTAAGATTCCTAAATCAGAAGGAATTAGGATGACTAATGAGGCCCTTCTAATTCCAAAATGCCACGATTTTAAAGTCAGACAATGAAAGAATGATCTAAGGGAGATGGATAGTTTCTGAGCTCAGAAATGGAGCTCTAGGCTTCTAATTATTCCAACTTTTAACCACTCCCCAAGGACTTAGGTTACTAAATGTAAAATATCCAAAGTGAATACAGGTGGGCTCCATGTTTTCTTTCTTTTTTTAAAAAATTATTTTTTAATTTAGTTTCAAGTATACAGTAGTACATTGGTTAGACATCTATGTAGTTCATAAAACGATCCCCCCAATTGCTCCCTCCCTTCACCCCATTCTCCCAGCCCCCCAAACCCCCCTCCTCTCTGTCCGACACCAAATTGTCCACTATATTTGTGAGACTGTTTTTGCTTAGTTTGTTCTTTCTATTCCTTAGATTCCGCACATAAGTGAAATCATACAGCGTTTATCTTTGTCTGCCTT